AGAAGAAGATAAAAACATGGAGATCCAAAACTACGGCGGTTGTCAAGTTTAATGGAGGTATGTACTTCTTTCAACCCAAACATTTCCTAAACATGAGGTTTCATTTGGTGGATTTGTTACGATGCGAAGTTAATTATTTTGTGTTGATGAGTCCATCTGTTTCGGTTCAATACACATTGTCATTTTGTCAAATTCGTCCTGCTTATAACAACCAAATATAATACTAATGATCAATATTTGAGGATGCAGATAAAGTTGAATGTGGTTAAAGTGTTTTCGGTGAGTGTTTTATAGTCCGGAAGGGAAATAATTATACACGATAATAATGAACTTACAACATGGATTCATCCTCGGCTCGTACTTTGGTATTTGTCCCCGTTTTGCCTGAAAAGTAAAGGCAAAACGGCAGTCCGGAAGTTGATATAGAGTTAAGTGGGAATAGCAGAACCAGTTCTATGCACAGCTACGCGGAATAATTTCCTGCTCAAGTCGTGCAGATGAACAGGAGAGCAAACGACCCTAAAAAAATCACTATTTATCGTACAAATATGATGCTTCTGTTTCTCACCGAATGTTGAAAATTGTGGTGATTTTTTGCCGAGTCTTATCGGTTGTGTTCACTCACAGAATTCCCCAAGGTATTGTTCATATCCGGGAAGGTCAGAGTGTAGTATCAAGCGATGAAACTGCTTCAGGTTTTCTTTCGGTTGAAAACAGTTAAGAATTAGTCTGGATGCTAAACTTTCCAATTATCATGAATTGAGATTTCGCTCGGCTACTTAAGGTCGCTGCTGCATATGTGTGGCTGTTCTGCTTGGGTACAATGGCTGGACTACTTACCCCTCGAAAGCCGCCCGTTAACGTCATCTCGCAACAGCCGAAGCCGTGGCCATTCGATTATTAAACTCATCGCTTTGTTCTCAAAAGCGATTCGTACAATCACTCGGACTGCCTTAGCCACGTGACACACCCCCGCGATAGACTTGACCTTTCCCATGACCCCGCGACCCTAACGCGTGATGACACGTACACATCCTAATTGTTTTCCTAACCATGTTACGATCACATCCTCCCATCCCACTGCTTTCCCAACCACACACCAAAAACAATCAAAAACCACGAATCACAGCCATTGACGAACATTTTCATTTTCATTTGACTATATAACTGTATTAGCCCGAAGAAGAAGTTGTCGAAAACGAGCTTGTTCACTAAAACAACCTGTTTTTTTCTCTCCATGCCGAGATGGGAATTTTCCACGATGAGCTATTTTACTCTGAACATCAATTAAATTATTTGAGCACTTTTGATTTGCTTTTATGTGATGAGCAACAAATGAAAAGTCAATATTTCGAAAGGTTTCTGAGGCTGATCGAAGAGTGATAATCAATTTAGGGAAAGTTGAGTGATGGTGATGTCGGTCGAAAGAACACTAAGCAATGGCTTGAAGGTGTACACTGAACAATCGTTATCGTCTTGGAATTCGATCAGTTCAATCCATTCTGTCAGACGCGCTTGATATCGAGAGGGTTGGTACGACGTCCGCAGCGATAGCATTGTATAACAAAAAGTATTTTATGCTAGAGAATCCGTCTGAGCCCTTGGATGTTTTTTCGTGAACTACCAATTGAATCTTTCGAAGGTTTGAGTGGATTGTGTGATTTATATTTTGAAAATCGTCTTTTAATTCTTTCATAGGTTACTATATGCTGAATTACCTGCTTTCTTTGGTTTTTAAAAGATCGTCTACTGAAAAATCCAGCTGTTGACCGAAAGAATTTAACCAAAAGTACGCCAATCAGATTGATATACACTTTTGCAGTGCAAATTACTCACAAAATCACATTCATTGTATAACGGATTCACACATAGGAAGCAAGTGGCGATTGCCATCCAATCCTATTATTTTTTCAGGTTGACGGAGAACAAAATCATTTGAGGTCAAATTATTCGCCAGCTTTTTGATGCTTTGTACTTATTCTGAGGTGTTTTACGAAGAGCTGTCAGACGATTTCTTGCATCAGTATAAAAATAAACCAACCCCGCCAGAATAAATATCAGTCTTTTAATATTTTATTTTTAATTCAGAATGAATTGTGATGACGAAGCGCTTGCTTAGATCTGAGGTCCAATTTGAAGAATGATATAAATGTGAGCACAACTGCACCAATTAGGCAATGGAGGCTCTGACAGTCAGTCTAGTATATGCAAGTTTCCATTTCTCCACATTTTCTGGGAGGAACTTAACCATTAGATTTATGGATGGAAACAGCCTTATTGCGTGGGGAGACTCATTCCTTTTTCTGGTATACTTGCGGCTGATTGTAGACAACCGGGGTATTTTATGTCATTTGTACAATTTTGATAGCATTCTGGGGTAAGGCCTGCCACATGAGAATTGTACCTGATGAAATGTTTTACAACCGGCTGGATTGGCGTGTTTGTTTGACCGATATTTGTTTGCTAAAACATGAAATATAGGCCACCGAAGTTGTCGTCGCTGCGCCATCTTTTTGACGGCTGATCGGAGTGTCGATCGATTCTGATCGGTCGATCAGTCAGTCAGGCAGCCCAGTAGTCGGTCATTCGGTCGGTTGGTCGGTTTGGGTCTGCCAAGTCACACGTGTTTTAAAAGAAAAAACGACGGTGCTAAATACTCGGATAAGTTTCGGCAGTCAAATTCCGGTAAAAATTCGCGTGCTACAGTGCAATTTGGCATGTTTGATGCGTGCTCGATTATCAGGTGTAACACACTGGCTTTTGATGATAAGCCAAGTGTAGGCAAGCTTTGTACCGGGAAACCAAAGGGCCCTTCTAAAACGTCGTTACCGATACATAATGCACATACTGAACTAGAGGAACCACTTGGAATATGTGACCTTACGTTTCCGTCCAGTGCATCAAGTTTTCTTTTGATCGGTACTGAGAACAGATGAACTTATTTCTATTTGTATAGAGAAAGAAAAAGTCAGTAATTATTTGTAAACCATAATGATTCTTCTCTTCTAAAGGTGTAATTGTTCAGAAATGAGTCTTGTCTGCAAAATAAACTAGGAAGTATTGGAAAAGTGTGTGGAAGTTTATTGGTCTAGTTGAACTTATCTAGCTAGTGACAGAAGTAAAGTATATCGAGGGGAAACGTAGAGGGGGGGGGTGTTGTCGGAAAAGCTTACACACTTGCGATTCTTTTCTGATCCCTAAATTGATAAAACATTCCACATAGCTCAAAGTTCTTCATCGATTGAGTTGTCAAATGGCGAACGGTTGTACTCATAGTAAACTACCAGGTTGGGTAATTTTCTTTGCTGATTACTAACATGCTATGAAACAAAAATAAACTGATACAAGCCAGTCAGATCATGTCTCTGTCTCTCACTCTGATCTCAGACAAGTTCTGCTTCAACAGCGATCCCAGTTAGAGTCAAGCGATTTTCATCTTGGTGAAAATTAGGGGCTTCGTTTTAAATTATTAGCAGTTCCTCATCATGAATATACAGCCTTTTATTTTGTTTTCTGAAAATTCGATGACAACGTTACGTGCTGAAATGAATTGATAAGTTTATTGTTTGTTATCTGCAATAAATACGTGTAACAACCCACGGTGAAGACTGGATTTGTGACTTCATCCCAGTTGGGGACTCGTCAGCAATGCGCAGTATTCTTTTTCCCCAGGTAGAACTCGGTCTCTTTGAATCCGCATTTAGTGAAACCAGAAATGTCTTTAAATAATTGAGGAAACTGTGCATTCAATATTACGACCATCAACGGTTTAGATCAAGATTAGGGGTTCGGGCTTCCAGCCAGAAGGCTCGGGCAACGTGTGTCGGAAAGAGACTCAAAAGTGATACACAACTCGCCACGGACGAAATTGAAATCTAGTGCTCTANTGCTCTCTGATGGCCTTTGCATGAAATTGCATCTCCACTGCAATGTACAACGTGTATGGGATAATTAATGAACTTTCAAGGAACGAGATTTCACAATAAAACTAATTTGTGGAATCTGATCTCTGCGACTGCTCTCCAGTTAATAAAAGAACATATTTACTTGGGTTACCTCAAGTTTTATTAGTCGAAAGACTTGAAGAGATTTTCATATAACCCTGAGGTTCTGTGAGATTCGAACCCAAACATAGATGTCGCCTATGCCTCCGTACAGCTATGCTCTACCAGTTAAGCTGCCAGGTTCTACCCGATGCTCTCGCAATAGGTTATCCATCCTACATAGAGGAGCGTGAAGAGACACCAAGTATCATGTAAACTGACTGCCGTGGTAGGTTTACTTCGAAATCTTCAGAGTTCACCAGTGGAAATCCAAGGGAAAATGAGTTATTTCGGTTCCACTGATAGACAAATGTGGCGAGGTTTTCATCTAACCCAACTGTTGAATGACCTTGAACCTCAGAGGGATTCGAACCCACATATGGGCACAACCTACACGTCTGTAAACTTTGTACTATACACCTTACTCGTTCGCAGTCAGCCTACATGCTACCCGTTGTGTCCATATGGTCTTGTTTGTAACATCAAAGCGCTAGCTGTGGCTCAGACGTTAGAACGTGTGGGTTCAAATCACCTAGAGAGTCATGATCTTTTCACATTTGGATCAACTTAGTGATTATCCTTCACAGTTCATTTTAACGTTTGTAGCCCTTTAGCAAAGCAAACGTTTCATTGAACATAGGGCATAGCATAGAACATCGTCTCAGTCTCTTGTAGATAATACGAATGCACAACTATCGCCATCGATAACATATTGAAGAGTAACCATTACTACCAATAACAATATAAATGATACTAATCCTGATGTTGTCATTTTTGTCATCACTCTCCAGTGCCCACTGTTCTCAAGGCAGCAGCGTCGACAGCTGATGCAATGCGCGCATGTCGTTCATAAATCACAGCACTCGGAAAACACACGTATTCGTTATGGTACTCGAAGGAAATCGCAATGCACGAGGCTTGGAACGTACGACTGAACGGGGAAGGGGAAAGACAGCACGTCAAAAAACTAGACAGCCTACGTCGGCTACTGTCCAAACAGCTTTCAAATGGCATGTTTTGTTTCGGCGTCCTTACACATCAACAGGATAAATATGGGGATGGAACCAGCCAGGAGAATACAAATACCGATATGTCTAGCAGTCCTCAGCGTTGTACAGCATTTGGTCTCCCGTGGACCGTCTAACTCACTATGGGTTTACGCCAAATTAAAAATGCAATTTGGGGATTCACTCATAGTATGCCGTCCACCTTAACTGGGGAAAAAGCTTTTATTTCATGACATCACCCCTAATATAATGATGTAGGTCAAATAGAAGATTTCCTGGTAAAGCTTGTAAAGCTGGATCAAACAATGAGAAGTGTTTTTCAATACCATGGTAAACCAGTAGATAAAATCATTTGATTTGACAGTTAGTGAGTGTAATGAGGAGTGTAGGAAGCTCACATTCATTCAACGTCTTTATGTAGTTTGGAGGTTGCATAATAACTAAATAGAAAACAGCAAGTGAATGCTTGCCTGTGATAGAACATAAGTTAGCCACTTCAACTAGGGCTAAATGGTCAGACTTAGCTCAATCAAATGTGTTCGCGCACAGCCATTCTGGGGCCTCGAATGTTATTACTGATGATGGAAAAGTTGATTGAATCATTAGGTGAAACGATGTACGAATTTAGTTGGATGACAAACTACCTAATCAAACAATCGTCCACCCACCATCGTCATCATCATGTCTGCGTTCAGCTACGCACACGAACGAAAACTTAGGTCCATCATTGCATTTAAGCCATACCCATACCCTCTCCATCACATCGACCTACCACCAGTCCGAGCAAGCACCCCCACACTCACTCCTGTGTAATTCGATCCGTGAGCTTAGCGATGAGTGAGTGCATTGAAAGCCAAATCAGCATGTCAGCCAGTGAGCTTTGCCAATGACCTCTACAACAGTCTGACTTATTACGACCGAATAGACGATGTTCTGGAAAACGTTCGTGTCTGTCTGTTTGCATTCGTTCTTGCACTCGAGCCGGTGCCTACGC